CTGTGAAGGAAATCATCCGGTACCGGAATTTCGTCCAGTATCGGCCCGATACCGATACCCAGTATCGGATCGGCGCATCTCTAATGAAAAGTCCCATCCTTGAACATAAATTGACAAAAAAAGTTCCAGAGTTAATGTTGCCTTAAGTTTAAAAGCTAAAGAACCAAAAGTGGGTCAACGGGAATTTTAAAAATTGGCATCTCAGAAAGTAATTTCTATATCAAGACACAATTTTACAAATATTTCTATAAATATTTATAGTTTATGAGCAGGCAAATTAGAGATAGCTGAGCAGAAAGTGTTGTAAAAATCTGATGATTTAAGATGGAATGAGCCACAAGTGCAAAAAACCCCCCAAAAAACTGTAATGTTTCTGCTCTTATAACGTCTGAAAATGATTTTCTTGGGCCCTCCAGAGTTGCACATCTTGTATAAAGGGAGGTTGAGGCTGTGTTTAATCCACTGGTTAACTTAGCAAAGAAGTTAAATCTGATAAATATGCATTTAAACCGCCTGCCTAATATTGGTAAGGTCCTGTTTGTGCCACAATCAGGTCATGGGAGCAGCGATGTGGGCAGCAGATCCACCTGAACAGGTACGTATGTAGCTGGAGCATTAGCTTCATCGCTTAACATGTGGACCGGAAGCGAGGGAAACAGAACCCGACCACCAGCACCACTGATCAGCCTGTCATAGATCTGGTTTGGTTCATTCATACAAAGAGTAAAGTCAGTTAACAGTCAACCAGTGGAGAATCAATAAAGATACCGCCGCATAATCACAATGTTTTTCGCTTTCCAGTATTTGTATGGATTAAACAAACAAAAAGCAATACTTGCCAGCAGGCTTTATGCTATGCTACGCCTATTGACGTCTGACCGTAGCTACATATTTATCATACAGTCATGAGAGTGGCATCAGTTCCCTCATCTGACTCTTGGCAAGAAAATCACAAATGCACATTTTCCCAAAAGTTGTTCTATGCATTATATATATTAAAACAAACAAAACACATGCAAAAACAACACAGTTCTAATTTGAAAAGTAAAGTAGGTGAGAAAAATCTGTAATATCACTGAGTTAGGCATGTTTCCTCAGGAACATGTGAAGCAAATGAACTGAAATCAGAGAAAGGCAGTTTGTTTATAAAAGCTTCCTCTAGTATGAAATTACAGTGAAATGCTGACAGGTGATGGAATAAAGACTTCACTGAAACAGATGCACCACATATGTGTGAAAAAGATGCACAACACTGGATCAGAGCAGAAAAACAAAACGTATTTCTGCAGAAACAAATACATACAGTCTGTTTATAATCACCTAAACTCCGAGGGTAACTCACAGGTGGAAGCAGAAGCTGTTTGATGCAGCCAGTTAATCTCATGAAGACAAGATAAAGTGGCAGCACACTTGGTTTACCAGCAGGTATAGTGAATACCACCAGGAATTAAGTATTTCTAATTATAAAGTGGCACAAGTAAGCCACTTCTCCACAAGCTGAGGCTGTGAGGTTAATATATTTACTTCCTGTCAACTTTAATTCATCTGCAGAAAGTTTGTTTACGGTTTCCACCAAGTGTGTGCTCACTAATAGGACACTTGGCAACATGCTAAATGTGCCCACACACACACACACACACACACACACACACACAGGTACACATATGGCGTTTTCCTAATCTTCACGCAGGTTGAAGACGGATGCTGCAGCATTATGCTAATGAGCAACTACGCTGTCCAATCACACGCTTCACTGGCTGAGAGTCAGGCAGCGGACGCGGATGGGAAATCAGAAGAGAACGATGAAGTAAGAGAAAGAGACAGAAGCATGAAGGGAGAGGGTGAAAGTAGATGGATGGAGCTGGAGGCAAACGGGGCGGCCATGCTGAGACACATACAATACCTCCGCTCTGCAGAGATCTCTCATTTATTAAAACACCTTCACACGGTTAGCTGAAATGGTTCTGGTGCATCCGACATCACTGACATACTGATCGGGGTTCTAAAATCCAAATTACAGTGATTTGGTCCATTAAGCAATTCAAACTAAGCTCTTGATTTAATGCAACAGGCCTTTTAAACTATGCATTATGCTGTGATTACCTCCACAGCCTTGGACTCCACATTTACTGCATATCTTCATGATGCATACTTTAGATATTTATATTAGGTATTCTGATTTTAAATATTATATGTGTTTTCTATAATTCCTGCAGCACTACAAAGTTTGATTTAATTCCAGTTTTCAACCCGTTCTTAAAGCTAATTAACATTAACCTTATAATGTCTGGTTTTCTCGTTATAGCCTTTAAATGCATTCAACCTAAAAGTGAACTGAATGAGCCCAGAGGAAGTTTCTGGAGGTAATAATTGTGCCTTATTATACTTTTTAAAAGCACCTCTGTGTGTCTGTGTATATGCCGTACCTGTTTCTCGGCCTCCTGTCTGGCGTACTGCAGCAGCAGCGGCTCTCCGTGCTTCTCATGGTACGCTCTCTGGCAGCGGTCTGACAGCGCCGGTTCATTAGGCAGGAAGTTGCTGGCCCACACCTATAATGTCACAGAGAGCCGGAGAGAGATGACGGCAGCAGATCTAGAACCTAGAATAACCCTAAATGTGTGCGTATGCGTACATGTGTTTGTGCTACAGTCCATTTAGATAATTAAAGGTATAATCAGTAAACCTGCCCACATTTCCTAGTGCGCCGGACCAAATTACATCTGTGATTTAATGGGGTTATTTATCAATATCACTCAATCAATACATGCTGTACAGATGCAGAGATTTCTGGGTTTTCAAAACGTTTTTTCTCCTTCGGGCGTTTTATATTGATAAATGGGTTTTCGTCTGCAACCACAGACTTTCATTTATTTCAATACAGAGTAAAATCCAGAAGGGCGTTCGGTGAGCATGGTCCTCCACCAAGGTCAATGCTGTATTCTGCAGTTTTAAGGAAAGCGATCCGGAGCCACACCAGAACTTAGCAGGTTCTATCTTTACCAATGCTCCATCTGTTCACCGGGTTTCATTGAATTCGGCCCAGTAGTTTCTGCCTGATGCTGACCCAGGATCAGCTGAATCTGAGATAAGTTCTTTATCACTGGTTTCCATGTAGAAGCGTGCAAGGCCCTGAAAATGCTATTTCTCAACCACTCCATATGTAGAACCAGTAAAGTGCTGGTTTATAAATCTAAATGTCAAGAAGGAAAAAAAAAAGGAGAGATCTTCACAAACCAGTAGGACCTGAAACATGAACAAAGACTAAGAACTAAGCAGGTGTTGTCTTATCTAAAAGAAGCAAACAACAGTAAAGGTAATAGAAACAGTTCACATATTCACTATGTCTGTGCAAAACCAACAACTAGCCGACGTGATGCCACTGAATTGAGGTAAATATTTTAAACAAGATGTGAAAAGCTCGCAGGCGAACAATAAATCTTCTACCTGCTTGTTCTGCTTTGACCTACTTTTGCTGTGAAAGCAACCGGTTCTAGAAGTAAAACTTTTCTGGTGAGAAAACAACAGCTTTTTGGCATTAGGGTACATGAGAAATGATGTGCTGAAGTCTGAGCAGGTGTTTCACGTTAGAAGTGTGGTGCTGTTAGTGGGGTTCATCTAACTTGTCTAAAGTGGGCGACTGTTGGAAAACGGTGACATCACATGCAGGTTTTTAACAATACTGGAATCATTAATTCCCACTGTTGGCAAATGTCAGTTAATCAGAGTGCATTAAAGTGAAAGTGTTCAAAATTCTGTGTATAACATGGAGAATATAACCAAGGACCAGGAGTTTATTGTCAGGGGAAAATAAAGACCTTGCTCCGCCATAGTAACACCTTTGTCCTTTTCTTGCCTTTGCCGTGTTACAACATGTCTGCCATCGCGCTCCAGCTGTTCCTGACTCCATCGTATCAGTCACCTGTCTGTGTCCTGCCCCCTAACACCGCTATAGCTGCCCGTCCACCCAGCACTGACCCGTAAGCCTGTTAATTGGCCTTTGTCTTGAAGTGCCGCTAACGCTCCAGGTCGTGTCTGAACTAACGTAACACCACCAAAAGTGAAACCAGCTGTGACGTTTGTTCTGAATATCAAGTGTATCTCATTTCAAAATATATGGAAATGAAGACAAAACAGTGCCTCCTGAATATAAAACATCTAGAAAATATAGTATATTTAACCAGTAGAATAACCATCCATCCATCATCTCTACACCTTCATCCTCACCAGGGTCATGGGGGGCGGAGTCTATCCCAGCTGACTCAGGGTGAAGGCAGGTTCACCTGGACAGGTAACCAGTCTATCACAGGGCTACACTTAGAGACAGACAACCAAGCACACTCACATTCACACCTACGGACAATTTACAATCACCAATTAACCTCAGCATGTTTCTGGACTGTGGGAGGAAGCCGGAGAACCCGGAGAGAACCCACGCTGCACGGGGAGAACATGGAGACTCCACGCAGGAAGATCCCGGGTGTCCTCACCGGGACGCCAACCGGCGACCTTCTAGCTGTGAGGCGCTAACGGTGCTAACCACTGACCCACCTGCAGCCCATAGAATAACCAAAGAATGTATACGTTTTAAATAAGCTAAATAAAAAAAGCAAATTTATTTTACTGCTCCTTTAAAAAAAGAAGAATGTCGACTTCCATTTAACTTTATGTTGTCAAACAAAATACACTAAATTAATCTGATATACATGATCTCAAACTCAAAAACAAATAAATGAAACCATATAGTTAATAAACAATAGCAGGTGATTGGGTTCTGCTGTGAGGACACCCACACACACAGTCAGGTTCCTAATTGTGGTGATAACATCTGTTTTAATAGCCGACGGAGACAAACGCTGTGTTCAAACTTTGCTCTGATCAGCCTCCAGCTGCTGCTCCCTGCCACACTGTACTCGCTCTAAATAAGACGCCGGAGGAAGCTGTGAGGGAGGACGTGAGCATCTCTGGAGAAAACAGCGTCTGGCGGCCCAGAACAGACGAGCTGCTGTCGGTCACTCCCTTTGTGAGAAGATTCATTTGCATTTCTCACCTGCAGAGACGACGGCACACTGGTGCGTCCCTTTGGACCAGCTTCATACGCACTCATTCATCCTGGATGTATGTGAATGACTGACTCCAGGAGGCTGTTTATGGATAACCGACCATCACGGCAGACATTTGTATTCACCGTCTTTACACTTTATGCCATTTTACTTGCTGTAACACATAAATAACTCAACGACAGACTCGGCGCTGCCTGATAAATCACTGCCTGGCAGTTACTCGGGTTTCAAACAGTAGATTTTTTCCGGGGATTTGTTGAAATAAGCATCCGCGCTGACAAACACAAGCATATGCAGGAAGAGAAACAGCACAAGGTTAAACTGTATATTGATGCTTTCACGAGTGAAACCGTCTCCAGAATATCGATGAGCTGCAGAACTGAAGAACATGGCTGTGTTTGCTTAAACTAACGGTTCTCTTTCTTTTGGCATCTAGTTTGGCGTCTTTACAATACTTTTCTAAACTTCTAGGGAGGACCTGAAGGCCCTTCATAGCACCATTGTACCTAAAATAGCGTATCTGTGCCGCCGGAGTAGCTTCTCCTCATAATGAGAGGCATTCCCTGCTGCTCCGAGCCACACTTGCAAATTGTTTTCTGATTAAACACAGCGTAGGAATGACACCGTCGTATCCTCCCGTTCTTTACTACAGGGGCAGATACAGCGGGGAAATGCAAAAAAGGGTCCCCTTGGCCATCAGGAGCTTCTGTTTTTACTTTGAGGCAGTGCTGTTATCCTTGGATATGTGTCCATGGGTTTGGATTCATGACTAATACTTAAGGTGTAATAAAAATAAACACAGTGAAATAATACAGTACGTCCTGCCTCAGTCAGAGCCGTCCTACAGTCACTGTGACGGGTAGAAACCAGATGAACTGATGCTCATATTCATGGATTTAAGCTAAAGGCTGTGCTGTGCTTCTCCGAGCGTGACCCTGGAAAGACCGAAAGAAACATGAATGGTTAATGTGTGAATTAAAAATGTAAATAGTGTTCATCTCCTTGCCTCCAGGCGTGTATAAATTATAGCAGGAGGGCACGTATCCAGTCCTGCCAACGCCCCGGCTCTACTGGTACACCTGCTGATGCATCACCCGGCCAACAGCAGGTTCTCAGAGAGAGAGAAGTTCAGATAACACAGCAGGGAAAATACACAATATAATCGATTCCCATGAGGACTCTGTCAGGTTTTCCCTTTCAACCGCTATCACGGCACCATCAGTCCTTTGACTTGCGAGTGCTGCTCTTCATGCGTGACACACATACTCAGGAAGTGAATATGAACTCGGTAACTATCTGCTCCTCAGAGGCGAATGTTTCCGAATGCGTTCTGAGCGCTTCACAGACTTAATGCTGTATATACTTTGGGCTACTTATGTTTTAAAAAAAGGACATTACTATTCCACAGGCATATGTTTTCCATCCTCCACTTACATAAAAATACATACAGCTCCGCTCCTGAGAGACCAAAGTTATCAAAAGCAACGTTGCCTCCGGAACGCGATTAACATTCTCTGTTCGTTATTCTTCAAAGTTTTTAGATCTATGCTTGGTGGGTTCTGGCCTGGAGGGGCAGCCGGGCTGTACACACAGATGAACGCACATTTTAACTACTCTGCTCTTAAACTTTGATGTCTTAAGAGAGGGGAAATCTGGACCGCGGGAAACAAAAAAAAGGAACAAAACTGCTGAAAACTCCTAAAAAAAACCCCCATCCATCAGAGCCTGGGTTCAGGTCTGATGAGGGATTCTTGTACTGCAGGCTGCCAGACTACAGAATACACATTCTTTCTTTGTTTAGTTAAAGCCACACGAGTCCAAAGAATCTGACATCAGTACATACATTATCTGGACTTCCATTCCTTTACTTTGGTTTTATCTTTATTACGTTTATTCTCATCAGTCAGGAGCCACCGATGA